GATGTTCAGCAGTGGCTGTCTTCACTGGCGGCATCTTTCTTTGAAGAGGGTATAGACAAGTTGGTTTCCCAATATGACAAATGTCTGAACAATGGTGGTAACTATGTAGAAAAATAGTTTCAGACATGCTCTTTCATGTAAAAATAAATTTTGTTTTGAAAAAATATTTTTTATGCGAGTTTTTCCAAAACAGTACTTACTTTCCAGACATGCCTTATATATATAATAAAAACAAAGAATAAAATAAAAATAAACTCAGAAATACTACTAAATATAAGTGTCAACTAATACAATTTAGAACAATAAAATTAACATGTAAATTATGAGTTCCTGGCAGAGTTTTTAACAATATATTTCCAAGCCGATGGAAGGCCTTCTGTGTCCCTCGCATTTATACATGTCTCAAATTTATATAGGTTCGGGACTCTTTTTAGAATTATTATTCTAAAATGAGCCCCGAACCTATATAAAATTTTAAGAAATGACAAGGATAGCATTAGGAAAGAAGAAAAAGCAGGTGTGTATAGGATACCGTACAAAAACCCACAGCTGGGGATTAGGAAAGATTATATCGGCATTACAACAAGGAATTTGAGTATAAGACTCAAGGAGCACAAGTATAACATCAGAAAAAGTTCCAATGCGACAGTACTATCCCAGATGGCTCAGACCCAAAGCTCGGTAGTTAAATGGGATGAAGCAGACATTATCAAACCAGTGAGCTCCCCAACATTAGAAAAGACCACTGAGAAAATAGAGATTTATAAGAGCAAACTAGAAGAGTCATGTATAAATGCGAGGGACACAGAAGGCCTTCCATCGGCTTGGAAATATATTGTTAAAAACTCTGCCAGGAACTCATAATTTACATGTTAATTTTATTGTTCTAAATTGTATTAGTTGACACTTATATTTAGTAGTATTTCTGAGTTTATTTTTATTTTATTCTTTGTTTTTATTATATATATTTTTATACATTACTCGTATATCATTTTTTTAATCCATTGTCAGTTTTTTTGAAATTTAAATATTTGTATTCAATCTTATGGAACGAAATCTTCCAATTGTCCGTTTTCAACCTGACGATGGCCTATGGAATAGGTTGAAAACGTTTGTTTTAAATAAACTTTCTCGGCAACGATAAAGGTGTTTGGTTATTGTCTAATATTTTGCTGAGCACGTTCTATTTAATATACTGTACTGTACATCTTTTACTTTGTTCTTTTTCTGCTTTATTAAATTGATAGCTGTGGAAAATCTGGTTAAATAACTACTGAAAGTAAAACCAGATTTATTTGAAAACTAATTTCTTAACTGCTTTAATCAGTCATTTTCAGGTTCAGAAGCAAACTTCTAAAATGTTATATTTCAGAGCATGTAACATTTAAAAATAAACACATACATTATTTGAAATTAAAAATTAATTAAAATAAATAAAAGAATATACAGAAAATAGTTATGTATTTGATTACATTTATCTGTTCATCATTTTAATTATAGATTTTTTTTTAGTTTCTGAATATCCTCTTTTTTTATATTCATTAATATTTTAATTTCAAATGTTACACAGGATAGCCCATACGCTGCTTTACCATTTCAAAAGTTAACAATTTTTTTGCTATTACATATTTTTAGATTTTTCTTTCAGATTTTGAAAATTTGTTTCCCTAAAATTTATTATGGAACAATTCATGACAGAGTAATATATAATAATCATTAAAGTTTATTTCCAAAGTAAGTGCTCCATTGTTCTAATACAGAACAGACCTCAATTGACCTTAATGTTTAAGTGATTTGATAGCACCAGATTTTTTTCTTTAGAGTTATCTAAAATGCTGGATGTAAGTCAATGAGCCATAATCATCCAGCTGCTGAAAGATTTAAAGACATTTGGAAAGAAATTAAAGCACTGAAGCCAAACATCTTAAGAGCTGTAATGGAAAAATGAAAGAGCCATGCATAAAAAATTGGAAAATGGAGGCAATTATGTCAATTTCCATACATAGTTTAAAAAAAATATTCATTTTCTGTACTTTACTATAAATGAAAAAGTAGAAATAACAAACATAAAATTTATTCACTTTTAAATGGTAAAACAATTTGAGTTACCCTGTAGAATTCAACATTCCTATTTTAGAACTTTTTTTTGTTCAAATCTGAAGACGAATGATTAAGCAGTTAGTTTTTTAAATAAATCTGCTGGTTTAAAATAATTTAATATTTGAAAGAAGCAGAAAATTCAAAAAAATTTTTATTCAGAATAATAGTAATGAATATGTTTAAAAATTAAATAGCTAAAAATTTTCATGTTTATAAAAATAATTTATAAAGAATCTAAATATACATATATTTTCCTAAAAGTAAAATTTTAATTATCATAAAAATATTTAAAACATGATAAACTTTAGCTTCTTAAAGAAAGTTCAAATAACAATATGTTTATTTCCCTAATTTAAAAATCNGATAGCATTGGAACTTTTTCTGATGTTATACTTGTGCTCCTTGAGTCTTATACTCAAATTCCTTGTTGTAATGCCGATATAATCTTTCCTAATCCCCAGCTGTGGGTTTTTGTACGGTATCCTATACACACCTGCTTTTTCTTCTTTCCTAATGCTATCCTTGTCATTTCTTAAAATTTTATATAGGTTCGGGGCTCATTTTAGAATAATAATTCTAAAAAGAGTCCCGAACCTATATAAATTTGAGACATGTATAAATGCGAGGGACACAGAAGGCCTTCCATCGGCTTGGAAATATATTGTTAAAAACTCTGCCAGGAACTCATAATTTACATGTTAATTTTATTGTTCTAAATTGTATTAGTTGACACTTATATTTAGTAGTATTTCTGAGTTTATTTTTATTTTATTCTTTGTTTTTATTATATATATTTTTATACATTACTCGTATATCATTTTTTTAATCCATTGTCAGTTTTTTTGAAATTTAAATATTTGTATTCAATCTTATGGAACGAAATCTTCCAATTGTCCGTTTTCAACCTGACGATGGCCTATGGAATAGGTTGAAAACGTTTGTTTTAAATAAACTTTCTCGGCAACGATAAAGGTGTTTGGTTATTGTCTAATATTTTGCTGAGCACGTTCTATTTAATATACTGTACTGTACATCTTTTACTTTGTTCTTTTTCTGCTTTATTAAATTGATAGCTGTGGAAAATCTGGTTAAATAACTACTGAAAGTAAAACCAGATTTATTTGAAAACTAATTTCTTAACTGCTTTAATCAGTCATTTTCAGGTTCAGAAGCAAACTTCTAAAATGTTATATTTCAGAGCATGTAACATTTAAAAATAAACACATACATTATTTGAAATTAAAAATTAATTAAAATAAATAAAAGAATATACAGAAAATAGTTATGTATTTGATTACATTTATCTGTTCATCATTTTAATTATAGATTTTTTTTTAGTTTCTGAATATCCTCTTTTTTTATATTCATTAATATTTTAATTTCAAATGTTACACAGGATAGCCCATACGCTGCTTTACCATTTCAAAAGTTAACAATTTTTTTGCTATTACATATTTTTAGATTTTTCTTTCAGATTTTGAAAATTTGTTTCCCTAAAATTTATTATGGAACAATTCATGACAGAGTAATATATAATAATCATTAAAGTTTATTTCCAAAGTAAGTGCTCCATTGTTCTAATACAGAACAGACCTCAATTGACCTTAATGTTTAAGTGATTTGATAGCACCAGATTTTTTTCTTTAGAGTTATCTAAAATGCTGGATGTAAGTCAATGAGCCATAATCATCCAGCTGCTGAAAGATTTAAAGACATTTGGAAAGAAATTAAAGCACTGAAGCCAAACATCTTAAGAGCTGTAATGGAAAAATGAAAGAGCCATGCATAAAAAATTGGAAAATGGAGGCAATTATGTCAATTTCCATACATAGTTTAAAAAAAATATTCATTTTCTGTACTTTACTATAAATGAAAAAGTAGAAATAACAAACATAAAATTTATTCACTTTTAAATGGTAAAACAATTTGAGTTACCCTGTAGAATTCAACATTCCTATTTTAGAACTTTTTTTTGTTCAAATCTGAAGACGAATGATTAAGCAGTTAGTTTTTTAAATAAATCTGCTGGTTTAAAATAATTTAATATTTGAAAGAAGCAGAAAATTCAAAAAAATTTTTATTCAGAATAATAGTAATGAATATGTTTAAAAATTAAATAGCTAAAAATTTTCATGTTTATAAAAATAATTTATAAAGAATAAAGCTGTTTATATATCTAAATATACATATATTTTCCTAAAAGTAAAATTTTAATTATCATAAAAATATTTAAAACATGATAAACTTTAGCTTCTTAAAGAAAGTTCAAATAACAATATGTTTATTTCCCTAATTTAAAAATCTATATAAATAAATTAGCATTTACAAAAAATTCCAAGATTTATTTTTAAATTACAAATAAGTTAGCTTACTTCATCATCAGATTTATTAGATTTTGACTTTTCATTATCTTCTTTAACTCTTCTTAATTCTTCTTCTAGTTCTGTTATTTTCTGTTTAAAACGATCTTTCATTGTCTGAAGAGATTTTATTTCCTCTCTCAAAATTTCTTGTTCACTGTGTTAAAAAAAATGAAATATTTTTTTAAAAAATTTTCATTATTATTAAGTTATTAATTGTTTACTATTTTATTCGTAAATTAATAATAATTTTTAAAAAGTTTGAAGAATAAAATAATTGTTAAAATATAACATAAAATATTTAACAAAAAAATGTATTTGTAATGTGACATTCAATCATTATTTTAAACATCCAAACTTGACAGTTATATATTAAAGCCAAACAACTGCTGGATTATATCAAGCTGTAATATTTTATAAGCCAATATCTTATCATAATTTCCAATATTATAGTTTTATGTCAAATGTGTGACAAATAGCATATTAATATTTAGTAACGTCCAATAAATCTTGGATATTCTTTACATTCTTATATTTTCAATATATATTTAATTTGAAGTTTCATTATAACATGTTTATTCTTTGATATCAATATTTTTATCTGCTGAAAATATACAATGCTTACAAAAATAAATCTTCAATTAAATTTTATTGTGATATAATAATAAAAAATGTTAAAAAAAGAATTAAAATATAACAGTTAATATATAATAACAAAAACAAAGACACTGAGTTCAGCGTTACATGCATATGTTTTTTTATTGCAAGCACTTTCAACGAACTTATAGTCGTCATCCTCAGGCGAATACAGATATTTACCGAAAAATTTTTTAAACAAAAATAAATCGAATGCAGAATAGAACACATAAGATAAGTTGAAACTATGTTAAAGCTGTTAAGAACACGAAGTAAATATTTAAACATAATTCAAAAACCGAATGAGCAGTTAGCTCCTTGAAGTGCGAGCTGGCGCATGCGCAGAGCCATGCTCACGCTACATGCATACTAGAGACTGCTAATACTCTCTTAAACGCTTATACAGCGTGACCCATACACCAGGCAGCTCGAGCGTAGGGGTGTTGCAAGTGTCCAAGGTGGTAGTGAGGAGAGATTCCCATATAAAAACAAAAAAAATTATACTTTAGAAGTTAATCTAGTATCAACAACATTCGATTCAGCACAACACAGTCTGACTGGAACATCTTTGGTTAACTGACATTTGGATAATCGATGCTCTACTGTACATATATTCGTATTCTAAAATTTAACAAGAAAGAACAAAGCCACCCATATTCCTAAAAAATGGTTTTTATAATTTGTATTATTCCATTTTTGGAATAATACAAATTTTAAAAACACACATGTCAATTATTTTACATATTACATAATATGGTACAATACATGACAAGATCAAATATATATAAAATGTCTATTACCCATAGTGAAATAACCTATGCATAGAAATGTTCTAAATTATACTTTTCATCTTTATACTCTCAACACCAGCCATCTTCAATATAACTTGTCAGTATCCTCTTACATTGTTTGCCTTTAAATTTTTTTTATCAATACTTTCCAGGCTGATGAAACTGTGGTGTTTTCTCTATAATTTACTGCTTGGCACTCTTTGTAGCCTTATGAATGTGTCGTGCTTCCACATATTTAATTTGTCACTTATCCTAAATCTTTTAGATCATTTCTGTTTGGTTTCATTCTGTCATTACAAAATCTGGGTTGGCTATGGCATAGTTCACTAAGGCTGTAACCAGCTATTCCTTTTGGATGTTATTTTTACGCTCTTTGATCCTCTGTTTTCATGATCTTGTAGTGGCTCCTATGTAATATAAGTCGTTAGGCCTTCTACTGTCTTTTATTGGTATTCTGTATGCACCAGGAATGCAAATCAGGTCAATGGCCACCTTGCTGTTCCTTAGCATCCCATATACCATGGGTTTCTTTTAAATACGATTTTCTTGTTAGTTTCAATCCCGATTTCTCTGTAGATCTACGAAGAAAATATTTCATTATGGGTAACAGATGTTTGATCTTGTCATGTATTGTATGATATTATGTAATATGTTAAAATAACTGACACATGCATTTTGAAAATTTGTATTATTCCAAAAATGAAATATTATAAAAACCATTTTTTTAGAATATGGGTGGCTTTGTTCTTTCTTGTTAAATTTTAGAATATATGTATTTCCTGATGAAGGTCAATGAAAAGGACTGAAAATGTTCAATTAGAAAATATTTTACCGCATAATTAACGGTTCTGTGTTTATTGTTGTTTTGAAAGTGCAGTTACGAAAAGGCTTAGACACAAAAATATTATTTTAAAAATATGTTAAAGCATTGGGAAAGCAAAGCAATCTTCCTGTTGTTTTAAAAGCAAGACTTAGACCAGGAACACAAATACATAAAATATACCATCAATGTGGATGTAAACGGAAAACATATTTGTTGTGTTCTCATAATTGGGCTACAGTTTGAAAAAATTGTAAACCTATAAATTCCCACTGTTGTCCATCTGTCTTTCCTTAATCTGGAGAATGGAGTTACATAGATGAAAGTCAAGACCAGATATAGAAACCTTAGGTGCAGGAGTCCCTGATTAACTATATACAAACTTCTGATGTTAACTGGAAGTCATGTTATTTCAAAAATTTCCCCTGAAAGGAGTTAATAGATGACCGGCATGACTCCATTGCTANCATTAAATGTTATTCTAATAAATAAGTTAAAACTATTTTATAATGCACACCACAGAATCAAGTTTTGATTTACTTAATTACATAAAACAATTATCTTATGTAAATTGTTTTATTTAAAATAAAATAACTGAATTTTAAAATTAATTTAAAAGCATACCTTGTAAGTTCATCAACTTTAGCAATAAGATCATCTTTCACTATATTCAAAGCATTCCTATAATACATTAAAATAATTCCAAATTAAAATTTATAATTTATCCAAAACAACTAAAAATTAATGCTGGTTTAATTTTTCACTATTAATATTCTATATAATTATGAATAATACACATCTTTAAAAAATTTAAGCCTTATCACTATTAACTTTAAAATGCAATTCAAAATAAAACCTTGTTTTATTAGTACTATATTGGTAAACAATATAAAAAACAAATAAAATCTTTGAAATGAATATGAACTAGTATTCACAGACTAATATAATGCTTTAAAAAATATTATAACTATGTTCCATTTAAAATGTAAAATATGATTTTTGCAAATAAATTCAGCATTGATATTGTGAATCTTAAAAATTATAAATAATGTTTGTTATGGTGGATTCACATAAGTTATGTAATGAGTAAAAACACATCATGATAATGATTTTACTACAAAGATAATTATTATGAGACATACATGAGTTAACATGAATTTGACTATTGTAACAACATAGTCAATGTCAAATGTATAGACTTTTATAAATAAAGTTTGGCTTCTATAAATATAAGTAAATGTCCTGAATGATAATTTCAATGGTATGATATCAACTTCTGAAAGAAAGAGGAAAAATCATAACTCTAAGGCAAATCAAAAAGAATACTAGAAAACGTTATTTATTTATTGATAAAATATTTATTACATAATCATCAGAACTAGAGTTGCTGCCAGCAGGAATGTTCTGTAAAACATAAGACCATCATAACATGTAAATGAGTTAGTAGGGAGATGTATGTTGTTATACTAGTACATATAAATGGATGATCATAAAGTGAAAAAGCAAGGAAAGGTTTCAGCATCATTTATTACTGCTCCTATGTCTTTGATAACCATTTGTTGTTTGTATTTATTATTGTTATAATACTATTTTATTTATTACATAATCCATTGACATTTTTTCATTTTTTTTAAATTAATTAACAAGGCATAGAATCATTCTTTGATAATGCTTAAGAATAATACATCTTTTTATTTTCTTAATTTTTACTGTTGACTTTTCCTGCAGCTATCACATGAACAGCAATTTACCACTCAAAACTTTGTTTGGCCAATTTTTAAACTATGTATTCCATTTTCATTTTGTTCTTTTGTAGAACAGTTTTAAACCTGAAGACAACCATTGAAAACAGTAAAAAACATTTATTTTCACATAAAATTACTTTTATATGCTGGATTTTGTTGTTCTTGTCATTAATTCATATAAGCTTATCTCAGTTTCTCTTCTATTTACATGGTTATTTATTTTTTAGTATTATTCATGTGTACTGTACTGTACATAGTATTTTTTCCAACAGTTGTATCCTTTTGGTTCATCCAGAGGTCAGATCTGCCTCTCTCACAAATCCTATGATAAAGTTTAGTCAAGAAGTTTGAATTTTTTGCAAAAAGATCAAACTTTACAAATGTATAGATATTTTTATAATTAAAGTTTGGTTTCTATAAATAAATATAAGTGAACATTTGTATCTTAATTTGAAAGGTATAAAGTCAAATTTACCTGAGGAAGTATTTATTTACTAATTTTCTCTAGTATGAAGTACAATTTAGTATAATATAAACAACAAAAATTTCAATGTTTTACTTAATTTTACATCTGATAAAGCTTAAGCTATAATTATATTACTTTAATAAAAGTAATATAATTATACTTTTATTATTATACTAAGAAATTGATTTTTAATGTATTAACATGTTAAACAAATTTCCATTTGCATAAAATGACCACATTATTACAATGTAAAAAAATTTTTTAAATATATCATTTATTCATAAATTTGTGTATCATATACCATGCATTTAAAATTAGAACACTGTAGTTTAGTCTCCATTTAATCTTCATTTAACTCCTTAGCAATAGCAATAATCATTCTGAGTATTTCTTAAAACAAACTTTGTTTTTATGCATTTTTGCACTTTTATTTGTCAAAATTAAGATGAAATAAATAAAAATAGAATTCAGAAGAAGGGGGAAGAAAGAGAGAAGAGGGAAAAAGTCAGACATACATCTGAATATTTTTTGTGTGCTTTTTAAATATACTCTTTAAGAAATGTTAGGCTTTAATGAATATTTCTTTCTCCTATTAGCTAATTAAATTGAATATTTACTATAATATATATACAGTAGAGTCTCGAAAACTCGGCACTCGATAACCCGGCAGTCCGGATAACTCGGCCACACCCTGGCAGGGCAAAAAAATCCTTAGTTAATTAATTTTCATTATAGACAGTTTTATGCCTCATAAAGTATTTTTCTGAGGTCTGTCTTATCAGGTAAATTACTGTACACAGTGTATTCATTAATTTTCGTTTTCATGTAGTAAAGGCTCTATGCCTTCATAAAGGACGTACTTTTCCTTTGTTTAAGAGTATTTGGGCAGTTTATTCTCTGCTGTATTCTCAAGTAAACAATACATACAAGTACAGTACAGTATTTTCTGAGGAAACACTCATACTTATTTTTTTTAACCCCATTCCCGATAACCCGGCATTTTCACAAACTCGGCCACCCTTCGGTCCACATTAGCCCGAGTTTTTGAGACTCTACTGTATTTGAAATAAATTGAGTTATTAATTATTACCTAATAGGGAAATTAATTAATTAGATTCTTTTTTATATTTTATTTATCTTAATTTAATCTGACTTGACAAAATTTTATATCTTACTTAATTTACAATTAATGAAAAAATTATTACAAAATTTAACTAAAATTTAAAAGCTTTATAAGTTAACAATGAAAAACCATATTTAACTAAAATTACCATTGTAAAACATAAAAATCTATATTTAACCATTCATATTAAGTTCTCTTGACTTATTTATCAACTAAATAATTATAAAATATTATATTCTTACTTTGTAGCTAATAATTCATTGTTTTCAATAATTAAATTTTCTACTTCTTTTCCCATACCTAGAAAGAGAAATAATTTATGTATCACATACTTTATTTTAAAATACACTTAAAAATTGTTTTGATATAGTGTATATAACTAAAATTTAGTGAATCAAGCATACTTATTTTAACAAACATTTAAAATGAAATAAATTGGAAACAATAAATGAAATAAATGGAATGCATTATAGTTAAGAATCTAAAACATTACTATGTCTAGCAATTGAATGTAGTTCATATTAAATGAAAATATGATTGCAATTAAAAACAATACACTACTGAAAAAACTACAGTAAAATTTAAAACATAGCTAGCTGTAATAATCAATGCACATTTTTTGAAATGCTAATTAAAATTTTCCTATTTTAATAATGATAAATTATTTATCAAAAAATAAATAGCCTAATTACATAAACTAGGATAGCATTTATAAAATAATATAAGCATAAAAAATCAAAATTATTTATTGTGACTTCATCACAATACTGAGCTGCAATTTTTAATCATATTTTAATTTTAAAAAATCTAATTTCAGAATAAATCAAAATATAAATTATTTAAATTTTTAAAATGTGAGATTACATGAATATTGTACACCTCAGAGGGTTGAGTGATAGATTATTGATCTCAGTTTATCATAAGGATCAGTTCTAAACCAAATTTATTGCACTATATAGTATGGTAAAAACTTTGAATAAAAATCATGTGATTTCCAGTCCAAATATCTATATACAACCCAGAAGTTTGCATATAGTTAATTGGGGCTCTGATCCCTAAGCTTCTCATTCCATATCTGAACTTGATTTTCATCTATCTAACTCTGTTCTTGAGATTAACAAAGGGCAGATAGATGGATGGACAACAATGGGAATGTATAGTTCTGTAATTTGAAATTTTAGCCCAACAATAGCTTAGTATAAGCATATATACTAATATATGTGTATAAGTACAATTGATACTATTGATATAAAATTTTTGTTTGAAATACTGTTAAAAACAGCTATTTCTCCTAATTTGCCAAATCAAATTCAAGATTTTCTCTTGAAAATTTCTGAGATTTTCTTTGTGCCTATCTTATGAGAATCACTCAGATTAGCTTGTTTTTCCCTAAGAATTAAATTTAGCTTAGAGATTAAGCAGAATCTTTACTTACAAATATGGATTTTCTCAGATTATTGTCAAAGTTAACTTTTTTCTAAGGCCTGTGAAGATCTTTCTATTGATCCTATACAACAAGCATCTTAAGATTCTCTACAGACTTGAAATCAAAATCTGAATCTAAAGAATGATCTATAGAGAGTGCTTGGACTGATTAATCAAAAAATTCAAGGTCTGGGCTTTTCTGAGATTTGTCAAAATAATTCAAGAACCATAACTATTATCTGCTACTAATTTCAAGAAAGTATAACTTACTACCGCTGAAGTTTTAGTTACCAGTCAATTCATCATCTATTTATAATTAGATTTATCTACTTCAATCTCCAACATTACTGAACAGTTTCAATAATGTTAAGTCACTGTACAATGATAGACAACATTAATATAACTATGATACAAGAGTCCTGGATATGCAGAGTTATGTAAGGGTTTCCATTAATTTCAGTTGCAATATTTTTAAATTCTATGTACAGGAAATCCTCATTAATTCAAACTTGAATAGTTTAAAATCCCATTAGTTCATAACTGTATTTTTGTCCCAGCCAGGGATATAGAGATTTACATATCAAGGAATTTGGTTAGTTCAAAATACAAAATTTGAAGTCAAAATTCTGTCTGAACTGTGATATTCGTATGCTCACTTGTTCATTTAGATCAGTGTTTCCATACTATAAGAGAACAATAGACCAAAAACAACTCTAAATCTGATCAATATGAGTTTGCTTTTACAGTAACACATTTTCAGGTGTCAACGTACCCATGGACTAACCTTTTTTTCTCTTACCTCATAAAATATGACTCTGTTTTGGAATTGCAAGATTAGCTACAAGTAGCAGACTGAGATATGTGTAGCGCTCTAGGCTAATCGATTTGAGAGAGTTACTACTTTTTGGGCATCTGAGTGGTAACGGACCTAAAACCACAAATTAAAACTACTTTTTGGGCCACTTTAAAAATAATTTGGGCTAGATTTCAAGGAATTCTACTTTACTTTTTATAAAACCTCTCTGCCAACCTGTGAGGTTCTCAGCGCACACATGCTGTTTACCTACAGTTTATTTATATTATTATTAATTAGCAAAAATAGTTCTGTATATGTAGCTGTATTCTGTTTGCTTAATAAATTATATCAGTTACATGCCATTTGGCATATTGTACAGAAATATGTAAATCTTAGATAATTCAAAGTTGCAATTATTTTGTCCCTTGAATTTCAAACTAATGAGGATTTTCTGTATCTGATAAGGATCTGAGAACAAATTTTACATAAAAATATGCTCCCAGATATCTCACATTCAACTCTTTCCCAGTGCCACTCTATGGATAAAAGATCTGGATGTTGTATGTTTTGATTTATGAGATAACTTTAAAAAATTTATTGTATTCTCTACCTATTTTCCTTATGGTTCTCCTGATTTTATTCGTCCTAATGAAATCATATCTTTAATAAGCTACTTTTCTATTCAACATCTTCATTTGTTATTGATCGTGATGTTAATACTATAAAAAACATGCACAAATATACCCAAAACCAGTAAAAGGAATAAAATTATTTAATGATACAAATGTTTTTGTCCATTTCTAACAATCATCATCAGATATATCTAAGCACAGAAAAACATTTGTATCATTAAATAATTTTATTCTTATTACTGGTTTTGAGTATGTATACGTTTTGTTTTTTTTCATTACATACAATCAGTTTTTGAAGATGCTAATGCTAACAATTTATTATGTATGTGAGGCTCTGGACAGGTCTGAACCCTCACTAAAATTAGCATTAAAATAATTTTTTTAGAGATAAAAAATATAGTAGTTAGAAATAGATTTTTATTTTATGAAAACGTGACACTAACATTTAAACAATAGAAGAATGTAAGTCTGTCGACCATCTCTGGTTGGAGATCAAATTAAACTTTGATTTTGACCTCTCCTGAGCCCCCAAAAGGTTATGAATTGTATTCAGGTGACAAGGAGAGACCAATTGGAAAGAGGAATTGGAGGAAAACAGATAAAACCCCGGACATTCAAGGACATGATGTCTTCTTCTCCCAAAAGTTCCAAGTGATGGATCTATTGTATTGAAAAAACGAAAAAAAAAAAAAAGGTTGTAAGGTTGTAGTGTGTGTGTGTGTGTGTGTGTGTCTCAAACCCATCTTCGTTTCCATCTCCCGACCTCGGATCGACGTCTTCCCATCAACAGAAGTCAATCGCATCGTCCCGGAGTTGTCAAGACATTGATGGAATTGGTCATTTACGAACCAGGGACACTCCTTCAAAATAGGACTACCTTGGAAAGGAGAGGAAGATCCAGAAACTGCAGCCGACATAAAACTTCCAAGATCACGGAAATCTTGTAAGCTTCTTTCATGTTTAATAAATGGGTTGTGTTGTTTGTAAATGAGGCATCTATCTCTGACTCAACTGCTTTCACATGTTGTTAATCATTACCACTTGGCAGTCCAGGAGGCAATGGAGATGACGATGATATATATCACATATAATCGTTAACGTTCTTTTTAAATTTCTCTCTCCCTCAGCCCCCACATGTACTAGTAATGAAAACAATCTCAAAAAAACACTTTCTTCTTGATTAATTAGTGATTGCTAATCTTGATGTGAAAAGATTAGATTTTTGAAATTTTAACATGTAAAACAATGCTAACAGAAAGTAGTCTTTTTTCACATATTTGAAGATACTAATTTTACCATATAAATTAATTATAAATAAAATAATGTAAAAAAGAAAAATTGTGAATAATTGAACAATTTAAAAAATTAATTGGAGAAAATTGTTCCACTGTCTGTTTCTATACTAAAATGTTCATATTATTGTAGACCTAAATAAATGTATCCCCTAACTCCGTGGCTCTTTCAACGGGTCTCACAAATCGTAGGGCTGCCTCTGAATGTGAATCTTGAGTTACAAATGATATGTAGAGAATCTCCTCTAAAGAGATCTTCAAAGGCAATTCTCCTACTTATTTGTAAGAATGCATATTTAATCATCTGAATTATCTTTTTTTTAATCCAACTGATGTCTATCACTTTCTTTAAGTTCTCACTTTTCTTTACATAGATTTCAAATAATCAGTAATTGGCTATTCAATGGTGTAGTCACCATGTACTGTACAGTACCCCTAACCCTCTTCTAATTGGGCTAAATCCTATCTTGGTTCCTATGAATGACAGTAGCACAGTTTAAATTACAAAGTTGCAGAGAATCTCAAAATTAGTACAAAATGTTTTCATCTAGTTAAAATACTCAAAGAAGTGATCAAATACTGTCAAAAAATGAATGAGGAAAACATCTTTACATGGCCATGAACAAATTTTTTTTTGCTTCAATGCTATTTTGGTTAAACATTTTAATGTTTTGTCTAGCCAACACCAACTTTTGCATACAGATTTATCCCATACAATATTTTTTTATTTTCATTGATAAATTTTGATAAGCTTTGAAAATATTTGAGATCTTGTGGTATAATAAAAACCTTGCTTAACTTTAAATAGTTTTACATACATGTAATGCATAATAATCATAAATATACCAAATAAATTAATAAAAACTTAAATTATTTTAAAATCTAAACAAAAAATAAATTTATTTAAAAGTGTAATATCATAAATTTTAAATTTCACTAAGCATCCATTATTCAATTTTTATTTACTAGTTTCATTAATTAAAAATACAATAAAGCAATAAAGTAATTTGTTAAATCAATAAAATTCTATACAAATTTAATGTTTTAAGTAGGCTATAATCAAATTATCATTATAATTTTAACACTGTAAATTATAAAATATAAATACAGGTAATCCCCATATAACACGGAAGTTACGTTCCAAAAAATTGTCGT